ATAGTCAACATAATCTCCTCTGTCTTGGCAAATGAAAGGCGAGGCACCTAGTGGTAGCCATCTACCAGCACTGAAGTCACTAGCTATTTGGCTGATGAAAGGCTGCAGAGTCAAGTTCTTTGCTTCAAACTTTTCTTCCTCTAAGATTTTTTCTTAAACCAATGTGAGATCACCCTATTTAGGTGTCTCATATACTATTATTTTATTTCACCTGCCTGGGCAGTGTAGGTGTGGATTTTATTCCTTAACATTATATTCCTTTATAGTTGTTTTTATTCATGGTCTTCTAAACAGAGTAGTCCACCGGGCAGGGTAGGGAGCTGGCTATTTTAGCCACCCTCTCCTCCCCTGCAGAAACAACAAGGGGGTAAAAGCAGCTCCCCTTAAGGAACTGAGAAGAAGCAGAAATAGGGAGCTCCTCAATAGCCTTTAGCTCTACCTAGCCTAGGCCTTCAGTTCAACAATCTTTCTTGATTTAGTGATTTTCTTTTTGAATCTCCTTAAATAGTTCTTCCAAAAATAGGCTTCACTTTAGTGGTATCAATAGAGGATTTCAATTTCCCTACCTCCCTGGTAGAAGATGTAGCGGGTACGGAGGAGATAAAAACCTCCTTCTTAGAGGAAGGGCGTTAGTCCCCGACCCAACAACGATCTCTACCAGGTGGACATCCTTTTTCACCAAAGCAACACAGTTAACAATTATTCGTCCATTGATTGATAGCTTCAGAATCTTAAAGCCCTTTCCAAACTGAGCGGTGCTATCACATACTAGTTCTTCAACATACATGTCTTGATCCAAGGAGAAAATGAGCTTTTTGGACATTCTTAATGTTTCAAGTATTCTTGCAATTTCTTACACACACACATATATATTTCTTACTAGTTATTTTTTATATATATAACTAGTAGGACATTCTTAATGTTTCAAGTATTCTTACAATTTCTTACAACAACAACAACATCAAGCCTTTATCCCACTACGTGGAGTCGGCTTCATGAATCTTTTTTCTACATTGTGTCCTATTAAAAGTCAAATTCTCATTTAAATCTAATAAAGAAAGGTCATTCCTAATATTTTCTAGCCAAGTCTTTTAAGGTCTACCCCTACCTTTCTTAACATAAGTCAAATCTAATACATCTACTCTCCTAACCGGGTCATTGGAAGGCCGCCATTTTATGTGACCAAACCATCTAAGGCGACTCTCTCTAATCTTATCTTCTACTGGAGCTACTCCATACTTTTCACGTATATGCTCATTTCGTATCTTATCTCTAAGGGTAAAGCCACTCATCCACCTGAGCATCCTCATCTCTGCCACACTTAACTTAGTATTATGCTTCTCTTTTAATGGCCAACATTCGGCACCATAAAGCATTGCAAGCCTCACTACCATCTTATAGAATCTTCCCTTAAGTTTGAGGGGTACTTTTCTATCACACAACAAGCCCGATGCATTCCTCCACTTCAACCATCCAACTTGAATTCTGCTGATAATATCCCCATCTATTTCACCATCACTCTGAACAATAGATCCAAGATATCTAAAACGCATACTCTTATTAATGACTTGATCGCCCAAAGTCACAATCCCCTCACTAGGTCTATTACTGCTAAAATTACACTCCATATATTCCGTTTTAGATCTACTCAAGCGAAAACCTTTAGACTCTAAGGTTGACCTCCATAATTCAAGTTTACCTTCAACTCCCTCTCTAGTCTTATCAACAAGAAGAATATCATCAGCAAAAAGCATACACCAAGGTACATCCTCTTGCAAATGTCTAGTGAGAACATCCAAGACTAAAGCAAAAAGATATGGGCTTAAGGCTGATCCTTGATGTAGCCCAACCGAAATAGGGAAATACTTGGTCAATCCACCTTGTGTTTGAACACAAGTAATAGCTCCTGCATACATATCTTTAATGATTTGAATATAAGCATTATTGACTCCTTTCTTTTCAAGAACTCTCCATAGCACTTCTCTTGGAACTTTATCATATGCTTTTTCTAAATCAATAAATATCATATGTAGATCCTCCTTATTTTCTCTATATTTCTCCATCAAACCTCTTAATAAATGTATGGCTTCCATAGTCGACCTACCCGGCATGAATCCAAATTGATTTTGAGAAACATTAGTATCACGCCGCAACCTATGCTCCATAACTCGCTCCCATAGTTTTAAAGTATGACACATTAACTTAATACCTCTATAATTCGTGCAATCCTGTGCATCGCCTTTATTCTTAAAAATAGGAATTAACACACTCATTCTCCACTCATCTGGCATCTTCTTAGTCTTCAAAATAGTATTAAAAAGTTTAGTAAGCCATGAAATTCCTTCATCTCCTAAGCATTTCCACACCTCTATTGGAATATCATCAGGTCCAACAGCTTTTCCACCCTTCATTTTCTTTAAAGCCTCTCTAACTTCAGTTTTAGTAATACGCCAATAAAAACATAAATCTTTATTTTCATTTAGGGTTCTAAGGTCACTATAGTCAATCTTATTTTCACAATCTTCATTAAAAAGTTTAGCAAAATATCTCATTCATCTTTGTTGAATATCATCTTCTAAGAAAAGTATTTTTTGATCTTCATCCTTAATACACTTCACTTGAACTAAATCCTTAACTTATACATATACCTTTCTCTCTCTTTAGTATCTAATTTATTATATAAATCACTAAAAGCTAATGTCTTTGCATCGCATATTGCTCTCTTAGCATCCTTACGAGCCACTTTATATATTTCCCAATTATCAGAATTTTTAAAATTAAACCAATTTTTGTAACAAAGCTTCTTATTTTTAATCTTTTCTTGCACATTTGGATTCCACCACCAACTATTTTTACTATTGGGAGCTTTTCCCTTTGATACTCCAAGGACATTTTTACAATATTCTTAATATCACTAGCCACTTTTTCCCACATAACATTAGCATCCTCATGCACAGACAAAATCTTAAGATCTAAAATCTTATTCCCAAAAATATTTTTGTTAATATTCTTTAAATGCCCCCATCTAAGCCTATAAAATCTTTTTTCTTTATTTTTTATTTTATGCCCCTTTATCTTAAAGTCCAAAACTAATAATCGATGTTGGGTACATAATTTTCTTATATATATTAAAAAAATATCGCTTTCTACTGAACATCTACAATTCAACATAAGTTTTGTTTGACGATGTATAAGCACAATTAAAAAATAATAATGGTCAGCCTCTGTGTCCCACACAACAATTAAAATATTTGTTAAACTTGTTTTGGTTCAATAGAATTTCTAAGTAGAATGGATCCCAGTGTTGGAGTTCTAATATTATCCTTGTTGATCATTTTTATATTTTTAAATTGTCTTTTAATAACTTGTTGCTTTTACTTAGAAGAGACGCAAAAAACTCATCACTTCTCTTGTGATGGGTGAGACTTCTTTTATAATTTTCATTTTCTTATTAGAAGAGATAGAAGAGAAAGAAGAGAAAGATAATGTAATGTTAATTATTGATATATCATAAAAAAATTCATTTTATCAAGCCTGAATTTGATTTAATTTTTAAATATTAAAATTTTATATATCCAAATAAGAAACTTTCAGAAGCAATTTTAAAATCATCAGAACCTATTTAAACAAACTTAGAGTCAAAACACATAATTTGATGAGATACAATTAATAAGATTAAAATCTCTTAATTTGAGTCCAAATAGGCCTAAATTAAGCACTTAGAATGATATCTTAAAACTTAATAAGACCAAATAAGGGACCAAATGTCCTGTAATTTTTTACATGCTTATACTCAAAATGAGCATTTTGACAAGACGAATATGAATCTAATATTGCGAAATTTTAAAATTATAAATCTACTATGATGACTAAAAATATTGTCTAATCAAGGGGGTTCAACATGAATTAAATCCAGATTTCTATTCGAAATAGATTAGAATGTATCCTCTGAAAATATAGGAATAGATTCTACTTTTAACACATTGGAGGATGTTTAGAGGAGGCCTTTAAGAGGCCCCAAGAAGAGTCTAAAGGAGAGAGTTTTGGAATACAAAAGAGTCTAAAAGCTCTACTTGCAGAGCAATTATTAGGTCCTTTCACTGGATGTAGAGGAAGGTTCGGTTTTAGCCAAAAATAGGTAAAAAGTGCAAATACCGAGTTTTTTGAAAAACTCGGTATTTTTTTAAAAAAACTCGGTATTTGCACTTTTTTAGGCAAAACCGAACCTTCCTCTAGGTCCTTGCACCGGACCAAATAAAAACTCCTACTTGCAATGATGATGCTCAGTGTCGCCAATACCATTAACACTAATTATCAACAAAAAGGCCGATGCAACCCATCATTACCAAAGCCAATATATATATATATAATTGCCAATAAGATTGATATTCAATGTTATTAACAAATTAAGCTAATGCCCACCATACACAATAAGTTTAATGGCCACCATAACAAACCAAGCTAACATCCATCATCTCTAATAAAGCCAACATCTGTCATTGCCACTATTACCATCACCATCAATGGTGATGCCCATAATTACTAAAATGCATTGATAAACTATCTAAACAAAATTTCTGAAGTTAGAATATTTCAGTGACAAATATAAACCAGGAACCGATGGAAGCAAGTTCATTTGCCTAAACTACTACGGTTACTTTATATAAGTGTTGATAACCCTTCAAGATGAAATGCAGCCATAAACCGAATGCAGAGTCCTATGTTTTTTTTTTTTTATATAAGCATATATGAATGGATTATATACTGCAATTGCGTGGAAACAGTAAGTCTACCTATGCTTAATTTTGAACAATAAGATGAAATGCAGCCATAAACCGAATGTAATAGCTGCAGTATTCAAATTGCAGGGAAGATACAATTGTATAAATGCTCTCATGCAATGGTAAACCAAGTATATTAATTTATAAGACAATGGTACATGCAAGTTCCCACAATAACTTTTCAACCTTGTATCAACACAAGCACGCAAACCTAGTTACAGTAACATCATGGCTTTGAACTCTTCAAAGCAAAGAACACCATCTCCATTAAGATCAAATTGGCAAATCATAGTCTCACAATCTTCGATTGCACTTGATGCACCCAAACTGCTAAGCATCCTCTTAAGACTCCTTGCTGTAATGCAATCTTGTCCATCCACTCCATACAACTTGAAGGCCTCCATCAAATCTTCCTCTGTACTATTTTCCACTCCTACTAATCTCATGAAATCATCGATGTCAAGCAGAGCAGTACCATCAGAGTCTGCAAATTGAAGCAGTGTTTCCATATCCTCACAGCTAAACTCTTCTCCAATTGCTCTCATAAGAAGCTGAAGCTCAGACACAGAAATTTTACCATCGCAATTCATATCAAATTTACTGAAGAGGCGCTCCATCTCTTCCCGGCCACTTGCAAACGAAATGGAAGTCATATTTTTCGTTTTAGAACTTGAAGCGAAAGAAGAAGAAGAAGAAGATGATGATGATGATGATAACGTTGAATGTTTAATCTCAAGTATGAATGAATTTGCTTTGGTTAATTTGTATATATAGTGGTAAGTAGTAGAACTTTCCTTTAATGTTTCAAATATTTGTGCAATTGCTTGTGATATAAAAATGTTGCTTTCTATTGAAATCTAAAATTTATTCTGACGGTCAGTTTATGTTTGCTCAAAGTTGAAAGGGTAAAGCTATGTGCACCGATCGATGGTGGAGAAATTCTTTAATTTGTCTCTCACGGAAATATTTCTTAAACTTATTTTGATTCAATTAAATTTTTAAGTGGAATGAGTCACCGAAGTATCACACTAAAATAAATATATGTAATCTAAATATGCTTGAATATATATTTTTTATTGAGGTGAGCTGACAAAATCAATGTTAATTAAATCAAAAGTCTCTGATGATGGCTGAATATAATATTTAAGTTAGCGAGAAATTGAAGTCTTAACACCTTTAAATTCAAATTTGAATGTCTTCTGTTAGTGAGTAATGCATTGGAGATTTCTCTAAGTATATAGTATTAGTGTTGTCCTAATAAATAGAAATATATATATATTAGATGGTTATTAGATAAATTGAATGATTCAATTGTATTTAATTCATTATTTATTTATTTTTATTTATTAAAAAAAAAAAAGACAAAGTAATCTTCTCACTAGTTGTAAAAAAAGTAAGTGTAGGGCTTGAAAAAATTTATCATGGCTTTCCCTAGCGTGCCATCTCTGGCGATTTAGGGTTTCCTCCCCGATCCTTCCTTCCGGTCATTTTTCTCACTGTCTCCTCTCGTTTTTTTTTTGCTTTCTATCTTGAGATCTAAGTGCTTTTGGGCAAGTTTCGTATGGCAGGAGCTTCTTCCTCTACTCCGTGGGGGAATGCTACTGAGCCTATACTGAATAAGAATAAAGGCTTCTTTAATCTGGATGGCGATGGTTCTAAATCTCCTTCTTGATTGCGTTTGTTCAAAGAGGTACTCTCTAGTAGCTCATTTGCAGGTGATTCTCTTCCTTCTTTAACTCAAATGATTTTCAATGGGGTTCCGACTGTTCTTTTATCTCATGATGAAGTCCTAAAATTAACTTCTCCTTTTCAATTTATGCTGGTCCAAAAATTTGGATTACGTAGACCAAATCTGGATGTTATACGCCATTTTTTGCTACTTTGAAACTTACTGGTTTTTATTCGGTTGGATTACTCAATTCTCGGCATGTTGCTATACAGTTATCAAACGATCTTTACTATAGTAGAGTTTTTTGCTAGGCGTTCTTATTCCATCTTTAACAGTCAAATGCGGATTTTGAAATTGATACATTTTTTCAATATTAAGAAAGAATCGCTTATAGTTCTGATATGGATATTTTTTCTGAATTTGCTCCTTCATTTCTTTAACCCGAAAGTCCTGCATGCATTGGGTTCAATTTTTGGGAGACCTCTCCAGACAGACCAGGCTACTACTTCTCAAACTCGGCCTTCTGTGGCTATTGTTCTAGTTGAGGTTGATATTTCCAAAAAAAACATCCCAATGAAGTGTGGGTTGGATCCAAAGCTTTCGGTTACTTTCAAAAAGTTGGGTTTGAAAAAGTTCCAGATTTCTATTCTCACTATAAGATACACGGCCATGCTCAAAATGAATGTTTTAAACTTCACTCGAATTTAAAAAATTCTACTGTTATGATTAGTGGGAAGCCTGGATACACCGAAAAAAAATATATGCGCCTTTGGTGGATAACAATGAAGAGATTCAAGTGGATCACGTGGAACTGCTATCTGCTGATGATAACTTAGGAAATGTTATGGAAAATCCTGCTGATGAAAACTTAGAAAATGTTAGGCCTTCTGCGGATGATGTTCAGGAAATTAGTGTGGAAGTTTTAAATGAAAAGGATGGAAAAAATTTGCATATTATGAATAATGAGATTGAAAATGACCATAATATTTTTGTTTCTATTGATTCTAGGTTTAATCATATGAAAAATCCTAATATTACTAAACCTTGTTTGCTCTCCAACTCCAAAGGAAAAGGTTTGAAGTATACTGAATTTGTGGGTAATAGGATCGATTCTAATGAGGCTTGAGAAGAAAGTGAATTCATTCCACCCTCTTCTTCTTTTAACAATATAAATATGAATCAGGAAACTACCTCATCTTCCAATCATGATAAAGATGCTCAAAAAAGTTTTGATGAGGACAGTTTCACTAAGGTTGGTAAAAAGATAGGTAAGCATACTAAAAATCTTTTACGTATTACTCCTAGATCCACCAGAGCTCAAACTTCCTCAAAAGATTGCAATGATTAAGGATCTCATTTAGAATGTGAGGGGCATTGGAGGTAAGGACTCTAAAATTAGAGTCAGAAATCTCTGTAGAGTTCATAATATTCATCTTTTGGTTTTAATTGAACCTTTCACTTCTAACGATAAAATTGCTTCTACTACTACTGCTTTGGGTTTTTCTAAGTATTATACTAATTGCTCTAATAAAATTTGGATTATGTGAAACTTTTCCATATCTTTAAATATTATCTCTGATTTACCTCAAGTTGTTCACTCGCAAATTAGCTTATTTAATGTTAGTTGTCATGCGTCTTTTGTATATGCTTCTTGTACTAGATTGAACCATACTACTCTTTGGGATCAATTAATTAACTTTTCTTCTACTATTAATGGCCCTTGGTGTGTGGGAGGTAATTTTAATATCATTTCTAATGCTTCGGAAAGAGTGGGGGGAAATCCTCCCAATCCTAAAGCTATTGAAGACTTTAACTCTATGATTAATGATTGCATTTTAAATGATATTGATTTTTCTGGGAGTCCTTTTACTTGAAATAGAGCTAATTTGTGACAAAGACTTGACAAGATCTTGTTTAATAATGAATGGCTTGCTGATATAGCTATGTCTAATGTTGAACATTTAAGTAGAATGCTTTCCGATCATGCTCCTCTTCTTTTGAAAATTTATGATAATTGTCATACTGGTTATTATGCTTTTAGATTTCAGAACATGTGGCTTTCCCATGAGGATTTTATGAATGTGGTCTTTACTAATTGGAGTTCTCCTATTTATCCTGATAATAACATCACTAGCATGCTTAATTTATGGGCTAAGATGAGTAGACTTAAGCAATGTTTGAGATGGTGGAACAAAAATGTTTTTAAAAATATCTTCTCTAATATTAAAGAAGCTGAGATTAAGGTTAATGATTTGGACAGCAATTACTTGGGTAATTCTAATTTTGATAATCTTAATTGCCTTAACCTTGCCAAGGATTATCTCTTTTAGTTGCAGCTCCAGGAAGAAACTGTTTGGAGGCAAAATTCTAATGCTAAATTTGTTATGGAAGGTATTAGGAATGCTAAATTCTTCCATGCCTTGGCCAATAAGAATAGAATTAAGAATCAGATTCACAAAATTGTTAATAATGATGGTAGCTTGATTGAGTCGGATGAATTGATTTGTAGGTCTAGAGTTGATCATTTCATGAATATCTTTAATATCCAAAGTAGGACTTGTCCTATAAGTAATCCTCATGTTATTCCTCAACTTATAAATGATGATGACAACAACTTATTTTGTCAAATTCCTTCTGAAATTGAGATTTTCAATGTTATTAATGGCTTGATTGGTGATGCGGTTGCGGGCCCTGATGGTTTTACGATCAATTTTTTTCAAAAAACTTGGGATATTGTCAAGTTAGATGTGATTGAAGCTGTGAAAGATTTCTTTTCAGGGAAATCTTATCCTAGATTATTTCTTCCACCAATATTATCCTCATTCTTATAAAAGAGGGGGGCAATAATTGGAATGATTTCAGACCTATTAGCCTTTGCACTTTTTTTAACAAGCTTAATTCTAAAATCATTTCCAATAGGCTGATTAATATTCTTCCTAGAATTATTCCGCGTAATCATACTAGTTTTATGAAGGGTAGAAGTATTTTTGACAATATTCTTTTAGCTCAAGAACTTACGCATAATATCAATATAAAGTTAAAGGGGGAAACATTATTTTTAAACTTGATATTACTAAAGCTTATGACAATCATAACTGAAATTTCCTTTACAATGTTTTATCCTTACTTGTCTTTAATGATTATTTCATTATGCTTATTAGGAATATTATAGAGAACTATTATTTTTCTGTTATCATTAATAGTAGAAATCATGGCTTTTTTTAATTCGTCTAAAGGGTTAAGACAAGGAGATACTATTTCTCATACCTTATTCATTATTGCGATGGAATATCTCTTTAGGGGATTGGATGATTTATATCATAGAAATCCAAACCTTAATTTTTGCACTATTAGAGGATTCCCTATATCGCATCTTAGCTTTGTTGATGATTTTATTCTGTGTTCTAATGGATCTATTAATATTATTAAAGTTTTAATAAAATTCCTTATTAATTTTTATGATATGAGTGGTTTAGCTATTAACAGAGAAAAAAGCACCTTCATTGTTGAAAGATCGGTTAATCAGATCAGAATCAATGCTATCCAAAAAATATGTGGTTTCCAATCTAAAAAATTGCCCATAAAGTATTTGGGTACTCTTATCTATAAAGGTAAGAAGAAAAATCATCTTTTAGAAGACATTTTTACTAATTTTCAAAAAAATCTTTCCCATTGGTCTTCTAATTTTTTGTCTTTTGGTGGTAGACTGGTTCTGATCAAGTCTGTTTTAAATTCTATTCATATTTACTTGTTTCATACTTTAAAACCTACAACTTCTATTTGCATTAGATTAGAGAAGATGATAAACAAGTTTTTTTGGGGCTCTAAATTTAATAGTAATGCTATACGGTGGTCTTCTTGGAGTAAGATTTGTGGGGTGTTAAATGAAGGGGGTTTAGGTTGTAAAAACTTATTAGATGCTGCCTAAGATTTTTCTCATAAACTTTG